GGTTCTGTGGAAACTGGATTTCTGAGTCTGATGACCAGTTTCCATGTGTCTGGACAGAGTTACCATAAAGTTACTATGATGAAATTAAAGGAAGTTTGTTCAGAAACCAGTGATGGCTGCAGCTCCCTGCACATCCAGTCTGATGGAGATCAGTTCAGATTTCACTCTGGTTCTGGATCAGCTCCAGTCCAGTTCAGACCTTTATGATTTATAACTATATGCAGCGTTAACAGGAAGTTGTTAAAAAAATCTCTGGTTTTTAAATGTTTTCCTTTCTGAAACACTAAGTTTTCTTGTAAGGTTAAACTTCATCATAACAGAAACAAACCTCAGAGATATTCTCACCTTTTAATGAATTTTAGAACCAGAACCGACTTCAGTAACAGTTTATGTACAAAAACAAAAGAATCTGACTTCAGTTGCTCTCAATGGACAAACCTTTTAAATTTAAATACACATTTGGTGAAAAAATTAAGACACTGACATTTACACAGCATTATCACAGTAGAAGACAACATGGTTAAATGATGACATAAATATGTGATATTCATAAAACTGATTCCCAGCAGAGCAGTTGAGACTGTAAGTGTTCATCAGAGAGACAACCTGGGGAAGAAAGTGTCTCTATGGCGACTTGTTTATGCTAACAGCGCTACGGACATTCAACCCAAACGGAAAGAGTTGGTGTCCAGGATGTGTGGGGTCTGCAGAGATGTTAGCTGTTAGTTTCCTGACTGTGGACCTTGATGGAGCGAAGGTCGGTCCTGATTGCTCTTTAGAGTTTGTCTCAGTTCTGTTTTATTGCTGAGTTTGAACCACAGAGCTACGGCTGAACAGGACAGACTGGATGATGAATAAAGGGCGAGTAGCTGAAGACCAGCAGGTTGGAGCTCTGGAGTTTCTGCTGGACTTTCATCCTAACAGTGTCTATGAGTGAAGATCATCTCAGATTAAATGTTTCCAATGAACCAGAAGTGATCCACAGTGAACGGAGTGGGAAAGCAGATAAAATGTTTCTGAGATTCAGCAGAAATGATGTATAAAATGTTCATAAAGAATCTAGAGTTCACAAAGAAACATCTGACTGTTACATTTTGATTCAGTATTTGTTAGAATCAATAGATAAATGGAGTAAAAAAAATATTTTCTTTCATTTTTAATGTTTCTTGGGGTCTTAAAATATTTTGGTCAACAGCAGAAGTTTTGACTGAATATTTACATCTATGAACAATTAATACTTTTACAATAAATAAACATTATCCATCCATCCATTATCTACAAAGCTTATCCTTGTGGGGTTGTCAGTGGTTGTGATCTCCAGTGGTCAACAGGTGAAGTAAACCCAGGACCAGTTCACCACAAACATTACAGGGTAAAAATTAAGTTAATAAATCCAGTGGATCATCAGTCTTTCTATTTTATGTGTTAATATTTATAAAACATGAGGGTTATGTTCACCTGTTTTTACTTTTTTGTAGAACAAGTAACAACTAGACAAAACAGCTATAACTACAACCAATGCAACAACATGACCCAATTTCCTTAGACTTGTTTCGTTTGTAGTTTCAGGTTTAGTCTTTGGTTCAGAATGACTCCTTCTAGCTGTGAACAAATCAAACACATCTGATTAATTAATATTCTAAACAAATGAGGTAGAAGCTGTTTATTTATAAAACCAGAATAATTTTGACTGAACTCACCAGTAACGTTGAGTCGACATCTTCCAGAGTTGAATCCATCTTCAGTTTTCACATAACAGACAAATAGACCAGAGTCTTCAGTCCTCAGTCTGGACACATGGAGTCTGATTCGTCCTTCTCTGAGGACGTCTTTGTCACTCTGGACTCGTCCTGAAAAATGTTCATCCTGAGACTCTGGAATCTCAACACCTTCATGAACCTCATAGAGATCTAGTTCTTTATGAGGAGCCAACAAGCTGCAGACAATGAACAGTTCCCTGTAGGATCCCTGAGTCCTGGTGGTGAAGGTCCACTCCAGAGTGATGCTGTGGTTCTCCTCTGCCTCATAGCTGCTCTGGGTCACATTCACTACAAATGTTGCTGCTGAGGAGACAGAGAGGGAAAGAGAGGAGCAGACACACTGAGAACTGGAACATGGGAGTCTTTCAGCTCCATCTAGAGAGCTTTCTGTCACAAAGACAAGATGGAGACTGACCACAGAGACATGAGCTGAGGATGAGGAGCAGCAGGGAGATCATCTTCATCCTGAGAGAGGAAGAGGAGGAGGAGAGGCAGCAGGACATCAGGAACATCAGTCAATACAACATTTTTCTTGCATTGAAAAAACACTAAAATTGTTTCTTTGTTGGATCCAATTGACTGAATGATTTAAGTCTGAATATCAGCTGCTTGTCACCAACATTTCCTGCTGATAGAAACTGGATGAGAAATAAAAAAAACTAAAGCACAGAAATGGCTCCACCTTCTGGACATCTAGAGGAACTGCAGCTCCTCGCTAGAATTTACATTTGATCTGCAGCATGTCTGTCAATTTATAACAAGCAGTTTAAAATCAGCATTAAAAATTTAACAAACATCTAAAATACTGACATATGTATGAACTCTCAGCGTTTCTACTTTTATAACAAATGAGGCAGAAAATGATTAGGGCTGATTAATCTTTACTTTCAGATGTAAATCTGACATTTGAACCCTGATGAGAAACAGGAGGTTTGTGGCTTTTATTCTATCAGAACAACACAACTTTACATTAAACTGTTGTTGGACAACTATCTGTGAAAGATTATTTTTATCCATGAGGAACTGAAAACAGCTGACTAGAGAAAGCAGAAGTCATGTCAGTCACTCATCACATCTAGTAAAACTGTGACATAAACACAGAATAAAAAACCTTCATGTGTTTTATTATCCAGTTGGATTAAGAAGAACAATTATTTTCTGCTCAAAGAGCAAAAATCAGTGTTTAATAATAATAATAATAGTAAAACATTTTATTTGTAGGCGCCTTTCTTGACATTCAAAGACACTGAAATACATCAAATCTATTAAAAGATACATTAAAATAATAAAATCCAAATCAGACATTCATGTGTTTAATAAAGAATCTTTAAACAGCATATCCTCAAACAGATTCAAAACAATAAAATTAAACATTTATTTGATCTGTTGAGACTTTAAGTCCAAAAATCTTCAAAATTAAGAGATTTCCAAATTTAATCCATGAGATTAAATCAAATATGAAATAATTTTCCATCCCAGCTTTTCAAAAGTTTTACCATGCAAGACTGAAACAAGAAGAAAAATAATCTGCCTCAGATTAAAATCACTGATGTATTGAGCTGATACACTAACATTTCCCATTTATATTATTGTCTTATTTAGTTGTCAAATTTACAACAAATATAAACCAAACTAATTCAAACTTACTTGTCTGGTTCATTTTCATTGTTTCTCAGAGTTTAAACAGCCGTTCTGTTAGCGTCTGATCCATGGAGCAAAGTGAAGGAATGAGTGAAGGAACGACCAATAACAAGCTCTGTTTCTGTTCTTGTTCTGTTCCTTTTGTTTTTGCTCTCAGGTCCATAAATAACCAACATGTGACTTAAACTCACCACCAGATTCCTCGTCCCTCCAAACATCTCATGTTTATCAGTGTTTAACATTTTGATGTGAAACCTGAATTTTTATCTCATTTTTCTAAATTCTCTGATCAATGAAAACTGAATCTGGATTCTGATTAGAATCAGTTTGATTCACTTCAGACCCATAAAATCTGTTCCAGAGGTTTATAGAGCTAGAGTCAGTAGATCAGCTATAAACCAG